GTACCCCTTCTGAACCCTACTTTTGTCTCTCTTAAAAGGGACCTTATTGAGAGGGTCTATATCCCCAAGGGTCCCCCTAATCCTAGCTCCCAGGAAAGACTCCCGTCCGAGCGCAAGCCTCCGGCAGAACAACTGTATGCAACCCGACGGACGTGCCCACGCAATGTTTATAATTCTCCGGGCCCCAACATTACAGAACCCTTACTAGTAAACCTTTGAAGAACCCATAATAAAGGAACCCTTGTACACATAATAAGAACCCCAAATTATTAGCAGCCCTTTAGAAAGGACCTTGATTAAAGGAATCCTTAAAATCGAAGAATGCACACGCTCTGCCTCCGGCCGCTCCACCAGGTCGGGTGTGGGAGCCCGCCGCGGCTTCACGCGTGCACGCTTCTGATTCTGACGGCCAGGGCTCGATATACATTGGCATGAGTTTTTTTCCAGGTTTAGGGTTTAAAGCTTGCGGAGTAGTAACTTAGCTGTCAAAACACTGCTCAGGCTTTAGAATCATAGACGTCGGATGACTGCTTGTTACAAGCGCTTGAAGCCTGAAGCCCACAAAGCCCATAAATCCTTGTTTTCATTTTAGAACCCATCCCATAAACTAGATTTTCTGGATTTGGGTCTTTTTGTAGGGTGAGGCCTTAGGGATCTTACGGGGTGAGAGCTCGCGGGTTTGGGCGCCGTTCAGGTGATGTGGGTCTAGGCGCATTCCGTGCGGAGTCTTTTAATTCGGATGAGATGTATGGAATTGGGGGTGTTCAAGGATGGTGATTTACCGGAACTGTGTTGAGTCTCGGGTGTAGGATTTTTCAAGCGTAGTGGTCTAGGGTTGAGGGTCATCTCGTGAGCGCAGTTGCGTTTCACGGTTGGGAGGATCACGTCCTCAACGGCTAGGGTTGTATGAGACATTAGCAACTGGGGCCGTAAAGGCCTGCGTGCGCACCTTCTGGCATATTTGCATTCTGAGCATCTACATCTTCTGTATCTTATGTTAAATGCTGTATGTAGAACGCTGCTTGTCAGATGCAGGTATCTTGCTGGCTTCTCTGCATGGCAACTCTCGATACTCGAAGAACCTGCATCACTGTCTTCTGCTGAGGATATCGGGAGTATGATAGCCCCAGCAACTACTCGTTTTTCAACCTCACAGTGGGGCTTGCGCAGTCACCTGTTACCTCAAAGATCTTCCCGATACGTTGAACAAGCTGCGAGAAAATGATATGGGGGTTCCGAAAATAGGGGACCCTAATATAGTACCCTAAAGAGTAGGATTCCTATGATAAAGGCCCCCCCAAATAAGGTACCCCTTGTTTTCGGAAATCCCATATGTCATTGGAATGATGGAGTCACGATGTTCATGTGCAGGCTGCACTTGCAAGCCGCTTGGCATGAAGGGGGCATTTGTACGTATAAACTGACAAGCTTGCCGACCGTGAACCGAACGAGTCGTTCATCTCATGGGTTAAACAGTTGGGCTACAGCTGCTATATTGAGGTCGTGAGAGTGCAGGAACATTCAGACAGAGAACCAGCTGCCTATCGTGGCGAAAATTGGGAGCATGGCTGGCATGCCTATAAAGCTGCTGGTCGGTTTGCTGTCCTCTGCACCAAACTTCACAAGGGCAGCAAGCACTCCAGGATCTAGATAACCCTAAACCCTAAACCCTAAACTCTAAACCCTTGATTTTCGTGTCGTAAACCCCGTAATTCAAGAGCCTCGGCCACATTCAGCATCGACCCTGAGCTCATCTGCGGCGCAGGCGCAGCACGCGAGACCGGGCGGGACTGCAGGTGGCAGAAGATTCAGAGCTCTAGCCCAAAGGGTCCAAGTACTATTATAGTAGGTACTTAGTAGGTATTTTGGGCCCCCCAAAGTATATACCATACTAGTACTTGGACCCTTTGCATAGTGGAAGATGTTGAGTTGAAGCAAAGTTGAAGCAAAGTGTCGTGTTGCGAACGTAGCATTCGAGTTTTCAACATCATGGTAGGATTTGGAGCGTCTGGGGCTGAGAGGTTTTTCGGAATAGTTAGTGATTTGAAGAGTAAACATCACGAATAAGATCATCGCAAGCCTGTGGCAGATATTGGGCATTTCCACTTCGACACACTTCGTATCATTACTTTGTGTATGTCCACTGGGCTCCTCACGTGAAACCCAAACGCATGCATTCGTATATGGCTGTGAGAGTTGACTTGAGGGCGCCGGTCGTTCAAACATGGGTTGGGATACCGCATACTATGACTAAAAGCGGACTATAGGGTCACACTCTTGCGAATTATTCCGATCGCTTTGGGCTTCACTGTCCAGGACACCAGGCCTTTACTTTTGTGTAGCGACGAAACTTCCGACTCACCAGCGGCGACCCAGCACCCTCAACTTCACTGTTTGTTGTCTGCGACAGATGCCTGGGGAAATACTGGCAACACAAGTTCACCGTTCGTTTCGGACTGCCCAAAACGATCCTTGTACCTAGGATCCCGATCTACGCTTCAGAGGCTTCTACATGGGATTCAGGCAATGTAGGCCTGGAATGCCGATCCCTGCACCCAAAAAATTGGAGGCCCACAATTTCCAGCCTAACCCTCCTGCGTAAGAAGCTCAAAACAAAGCCGAGCTCAAACTCCCTTGTCCAGCTTCTTGGCTAAGTAGGCTGAGCCTGAAGGAACATGTCGGGACTCTACGAACTTACTTTGGCAAGATAGACACGGGGAAGCCCTAAACCCTAAAGCCTGGACCCTAAACCCTCAACCCCTAAACCTTGAACCGATGTAACATCCTAAATGACAGCCCTGTACCTGGCACCCCCGGGCCCTCAAACCACAAAACCCTGAGCAGTACATCCATCATTCCAGACATCCCATAGCCCCAAACACGGGAAACCCAGTCTCAAAGCCCAAAACCACTACTGTTTCCAATAACCTGCAAACCGCAAAATTCCCAAAACCTCCCCTAAGCCCCAAACCCTAAACCCTTAAACCCCGAACCCCTGAAGTGGAAGCCAGAAAGTTGGAACATCATTATCCTCATGCCCTTAATCGCAGCACTATAATCCTCCTAAATTCATGTTCCAACTTCCCGGGGTTCCGCGGTAAAACCCTAAACCCAAAAACCCTCAACCCCAAACCCTAAACTCGAAACCCTAAACCCTCAGACGTTGTCTTGGATATCTTCTCGCATCAGCCCCCTGAGTTCCCGACCAACCCAAGCTTCTCCTCTTCCAGCTCCTGGCACACTTTGGGGTTTAGGGTTTGGGGTTTGGGGTTTAGGGTTCAGGGTCTGGGGTTTAGGGTGTAGGGGTTTGGGGTTTAGTAATTGGTTTAGGCTTTGTGTAGTTGCGGGTTTGGGGTTTGGGGCTTAGGATTCCACTATCTTCTTGCAGGTTCCCCAGAGCCCTAAACCGTTTACTACAACCCTAAACCCTAAACCCTAAATCCTAAACCCTAAACCCCTAAAACCCTAAACCCCTAAACCCCTACACCCTAAACCCACCTAGGCCACTGCCGAAGACCCAGACGGCCCCCCGAAACCTACAAGACACCTCAAACTCAAACCTTATGTAGGGTTTAGGGTTTTGGGTTTAAGCGTTTTGGGGTTTACGGTTTAGGGTTTTGGGATAAGGGTTTAGGGTTTTGGGTTCAGGGTAATGTAGGGGCCTTCATAATTAGACTAGGGTTCCTTTAAAGGGTTCCTGAAAAGGGATACTATAAGGGTTACTATAGGTGTTCTATAATGTAGAGGCCTCCATAATTGGAATAGGGGTTTTGGGGGTTCCTTCCTATAATTGTAGTATAATATACCTCTAAACCCTATTCTAATGGCCCCTATACTACCCGAAGCCATCAAAGTGGTTAGGGTCTGGCAACTAACTACAGATGTTCGAACGGCTGTCAGTGGGGAAAGTCAAGACGTCAAGACGGTTCATGGGGTTGTATGGATTTCGGGTCAAGGTGTAGGGTGTGGGATTTACGGGTCCAGGGGCTGACAAAGAATTGAATTAGGCACGGCGCTTTGTCGGGGCCTCGTTTGCTTGAGAAATCTGTTGGCGCCAGAATTGCAACTTGAGGCCTAGGGTATGAATTGGCGTCAGGTCGGTCTTAGAGTTTAGGGTTCGGTGAACCCTAAACCCTAAACCCTGAAAGGTTTAGGGTTCAGGGTTTGGGTTCAGATGGGTTGCGGGTTGAAGGCTTTCGGGTTCAGGATGGTTCAATTTTGAGGGGTCGGAGCCCTGGAAGCGGGTGAAGAAATCCTGGTCCCATAACGTCAAAATACTGGGATCCAGATCAAGAGCCCTATGTAATAGGGTATGCCTGGGTTTCATAATCAGGTTCCTATGTTAGGGCTGGTAGATTGCAAGCATGCTTGAGCTTACCGCCCGAGTAGGGCAGCAACCCTCAAGCCTAGAGCTCGAGCCCTGGGACCCCCGAGCCGGAACCCTAAACCCTGAATCTCATGCAAACCCTATGATCCCAAACCCTGCATCCTAAACCCCCAAACTCCAACCTTTTGGGACGCCTCTTTGTTGCGTGGTGTGCATCAGATATCACCGGGCTTCCGGAACAACTTCTTGTAGGGTTGGCTACAGCTTTAGAGGGTGTCATAAGCGCCCTATGAAGGTTCTGCAGGGTCTTCATAGGGGGTTCGAAAGTTTGATAAGATGTTCCATTGCGCTTCTAAGGGATTTCGCATCAAAGGGTTACTGGGTTTGAGGTGGCGGGGCGTAATTGTGATTTCCGGCTTAATCAGGGATTAGATATGAGGCTTTCGGGTTAGAGATCTTCGGGTTTGAGCCCTGCGCACCTGAAACCACTTCTTGTAGGCTTCCTTCAGTAGATCGGCTGCGCCGAAAAAGTCACCTGCGCTGGTTGACATGTGAAGGCATGGAGGGTTTCGGGCTTGGGATTTTTGAACGGACTGCTGCGCAGGAGTCAGGATGCGCACGATGCGAACACTTCAATTAGTACTCCTTCTTCGAAGAGGGAGCAAGAGAGTAAGAGAGAGAGAGAGAGAGCGAAACGCACCTTCGTTAGATCTTTTTGGTCTGAGGCTGGTCGCTCTCGAAGGCCTTGCCTCCTCCCTTGAGATCATGTCCAGCATATACTGGCAAGGTCAGTTGTCAATATACTAGATTTATAACACTTGACGGAAAACGCATCATAGTAGCCTCGAAAACGCCTCTGCTTCTGTGTGGTGCTTGTGTTAGCTACTGCTGCTGGCAGCGTTGGCGTTGTGACCGTGATCCTTCTTCGCCAGCTCAGGAACAACTTTGCACCAGGCTAACAGTTCTCCGTGTCTCAAGGGTGTGCAAAGGCAGACGCTAACAGAGCTTGCAAGAAGCTTGGGGTTGTTCCACACAAGGGGCCACTTTTGGAAGCTTCCAGGTTTTGAGAGCGGGAGAGGGGGTCAGAAGGACCTGACAACTTCGAGTAGGGTGCCGTTCAGGTGGATCATTGGGTCCCTTGCTTTTACTGAAACTCCCACCGTATCCTGCAAGCACAAGCTGAGTAGTTGCAAAAGACGTGGGCATGAGAACTGTGCTCCCTTGTTGAACTGGATACAATGCAACACAAGTATGTTTGCAAACACGACCATAAATCGTCAACACGACGCGCACTACCCATGTTCTTGCGAACTATGGCTCCGGCGGGGTTCATCAGTCAGTATATGGATGACCCCTGTAAGGAGCACGTTGTTGGCTAAATGCCCACGGAATGCAGCATCACATCAGCACGATGTTCTTGGCGGCGATCTTGGTTTCTTCCACCACCCTGGCGAACAGCTTTGTTCGCTTTGACAAGAGCAACCCAAACGCGCTTTCAATGTGGCATTGCGGGTACTGTGTGCCTCTTTCTCAGCCCTCCTTGCATGTAATATCGAAGGCTGCAAAACACGGACTGGGTTTTGGGATGTCGTTGTTGTCGTACTGTAAACATAGTAAATGGAACGTTAAGAAATATTATTCATGCACCTATACTAGATGAGGTGTGACCGCAAGAGGAGAGCTTCCTTCTTATCGCTCCGGATGCCGGGAGCATAGTCCACAAGTGTCAGGTTTAATATAATTTTACAGACCCTCTCTGGCCTTTTCTTTCTAGACCTTTAACTTTACCTGATTGATTTTCAGTTGCCTGAGCGTGTTTGAAGGGTTCCTTGCACAGTGTGTTTTGCAGAATAGGGCTCTTAATCAACCCTAAATCCTACCCCTAAACCCTATAACCTAAAGGCCTAGACCCTGCAGCCTATTCCCAGCACACAAATCCCAAGTTCAAAGTTCTGAGTAAAGCTGAAACCGCAAACTCCTAAAACTGCTGCCTTTAAGGGATCCATAGGGCTTCCTTTAAAGGTCCCTTGATAGGCTTCCTTATTCTACCCGTCTACCTCCCTGTTGGGGCTCCAGGTATGCCAGCCCCCCCAAATCCTAAACCCAAAGCCCTCAGCCCCAAACCCTAAAGCCCAAAAGCCCTAAACCCTAAACCCCAAACCCTAAACCCTACACCCTACGCCCTAAACCCCAAAAGCCCTAAACCCCAAGCCCTAAACCCTAAACCACAAAAGCCCTAAACCCCTTAAACCCTAAATCCTAAACCCTAAAAGCCCTAAGCCCTAAACCCTTAAAAACCCTAAACAAAGGCAGGCCCGCAACTCAAACTCGACCTGCTGGCCCGGCTGGACACTGCCTTTGCTGCGGGCTTGCCATAGGGGGCGGTTTAGGGTTGGGGGTTTGGGACCTAAAGAACTACCAACACTCTTTTGTAGGTTCCGTAATATAACTATAGACTATTTGGGAGGTAAGGGCCTAAATAACGACCAACAGGGCTCCGTACTATTAGGGGGTTTAGGGGGTTTAGGGTTTAGGGGGGAGGGGCCTAAAAATTACCTAGACTATTCTTGTGGGTTCCTGATTATAACTATAGAGTATGTTCTACCCCGAAACCCTCGTCGAATTATTAAGGCCCTTACATTAGGGATTAGGGTTTGGGGTTTAATTACGGCTCAGGGGCATAGGGCTTATAAGGCTTTGCCGGGTCCTTCGGTTTCTAGCAGGGGTGCCGCAAGAAAGCCCTATAAAGGGTTTAAGACTTGCGTGTTAGGGCCTTAGAATTTATAGTTCCTAACCTTGAACGCTAGACCAAAACCCCAGACCCCTGACCCTAAATCCACCTAAGCGAAAACTCCAGCCCCCCCAACCCTGAATGCCAAACCTTCTCGAACCCTAAACGGCCTAATTAAGCTAAACCCAAACCCCAAAACCCAAGACCCTAAATCCTTAACCTTGAACCCTACCTAACATCTCGAACCCTAAACAGCCTAGACTAAACCCAAACCCCAAAACCCCAGAGCCTCAATCCCAAACCTTGAGCCCTAACACCGAACCTGAAAACCCAGACTGTAGCTTCCGAACCCTGAATGAACCACAAAAACCAAAGCTCACATCCCAGGGTCGCAGGTTCTATATTCCTAACCTTGAACCCTAATGTAGGGGCAACAAAAATAGTTACCAATACTGCTTTTGGGGGCTCCTTATTCTGTTTATAATCGTATCATGGGCCCCACAGCCCTGCTCTTATTCTGAAGGCCCCTCGATAAAACTCTAATCCCCAGACTCTGATTTCCCAACCTCAAACCCCAAACCCTAACTTTAGAACACCCTAAACCCTAAACCTTTACAAACCCTAAACCACAGACTTTTGAAACACCCTAAACCTTAAACCTCAAGCCCTCAAGAATCCTGAACTCTACACCTTCCCGATCGCCATTGCGAGGTCAGGATGCTGACGCCCGGCGGCAGCTCGTCCTTGGAGAAGGCCACGTCATCCGCCAATCCTGCTCTGTCCCTTACTAACCCACCCGTGCAGAGCCGTTGACCCTAAACCCTAAACCCTAAACCCTAAACCCTTACTTACTTCTCCAATAAGCAGGGAAGTAAAGGGTTAAACTTTCAGATTACTACTAAGCTATAAGAACCCAAAAAGTTTAAAGGTTGGGTATTGGAGAACTAAGCTTATCTAACCCACCCTTGCAGAGCCGCTGCAACAAGCTTATGGGTTTAGGGTTTAATGTTGTTGGGGTTTGGGGTTATGCCGCGATGTTTCGGAAAATGTGGCTTGACTCGTCTGGAAGCCCTGGCCTGTTCTTTTCCGAGCAGGGTGTCCTGCATTAAAGGCCACAGCCCTAAACCCTGAAAGCTCCAAACGCGGAGCCCTGTACGGGGTTCGGAAACCCTTAA